TCTCCATGGTAACTGATGCTAACCTGGTCCAGGTCCTGCTCACGGTCTCCCTTTAACCAAACTGGTTCCTGATGATGATGTTTTCTCTGTGAACCTGCTGATCTGTACGTTACTGAAACACTGAATGAAGCAGTTACAGCATCACACACTGGAGGCATCCTGTCGCCATGGAAACCTACCTGTGTTCAGCTGCTGATGCAGAAATCACATCAGCATGTTTCTATGTTTACTCTGCTGGTCCTGCAGCTGATAGATCACTGATTAGAACATTGATTACCTATTGGTATTTATTACAGAGAACATCCAATCAGGAGCATTGATTCACTCTGATTTGTCGTTATTAAAGTGATTTCCTGCGTTATGGGACAGAGTCAGACCTACATGAGCTTCAGTACAAGATCAGGGTTAAATATATAAGGTTTGAAATTGAACAGCTTCAATGTTCAGCTCTCAGTTATCAATCATCAGCTGCATTGATCAGTACAACAAATATATGAACACTTCAGGAGACAGCGATAGTAAATGTGTAGCGTCTTATCCCAGACGTGCATTCCACAAACCTCGCTGGTTGAATAATGGTGAAGAGACGCTCTCTGCTTCTGCCTGTACTACTGTGTATGTACAGCAACATGACAACAACCTGGATTTGATTTGATGGTGAGCAGGTCTCCAGCAGCTTCCTGTCCTGCATCATTTTCAGCAGCAGCACTTTAAAGTCATATTTCTTGATGTTCCTCATTGTTCTCATTAGAACAAGCTGCTGACTGAAGCAGGAGGAACCTGATTGGTCCGTTCACTGCAGGAGAGTCACATGACGCCTCCTTTAATGAGAACAGAGTCTGAAGAAGAAAACCTGGTACACTAAGAAAGGTGATAAACACCTTGTGATGCCTCTGACTGGAGTTTAGGTTTAGTCGAGCTGCTAACACAGAAAGCCTGGATCTAGTGAACCTGCTCCCTGGCCCTCAGGTGTACTGATCAGGTGTGTTACCTTAGCAAACTGGATGGCGAAGATCTTCTTGTACTTGAGGTCCATGAGGAGGCTGTTCATGAGCAGCTGGTGGTAGATGTTCCGGGCTCCTGCACACATACAGGTGATGTTACAGAACACACTCACAACTCTGACAGTAGAACCAGCACTGGCTCAGGTGGTACAGCGTGTTCTCCACTGGCCCAAGATTGATGGTTCGATCCCCCTCCGCAGTCAAAGTGTCCTCGGGCAAAACACTGAACCTAAAGGTGCTCCAGATGGCAGACAGCAGCCAGCACGGAAGCTCTGTCGCCATCAGTGGGGATGTGTGTTAGAACGTGTGTGGATGTGGATGTGGTCCTGTCGGATCTCACTGGGTTTGATACTGGTACTGCTGGATCTCAGAGTTGCATTTGACACAGTTGATCACAA